GGCCACGCCTCCAGGCCAGCCCGAGAGCCCAGAGGGTCACCAGCGGTTCCCGCCCGGCAGGTTCCCGGAGTCAAACCAGTTCACCCACCTCCACCAAACCTGCTCCAGGCTAGTCCCAAAGCACCCATAATAGGGGCACACATTTTTGATACGGTTTGATGGGGGGGTGTAGGTAATGGGGGCGCTTCACCACTGAGCTGCATCCCTAGTTGTTTTTACTTATTTAAATTTTGAGATAGGGTCTCCCTATCCCGCTTAGGCTGGACTTGAACGTTCGATCCTCCTGCCTCAGTCTTCCGCGTCGCTGGGATTACAGGCATGTATCACCGCACCAGGCTGATGCAGATTTTTTTAAGGGTCAAAACTTTAACCACAAAACTAAAGTCTGATGAAAAATTTGCCTGGAGACGGGATAAATTTCGGGACTAAAGTGTCTAATTGGCCTTGCAAGTCTGTTTTTAATGACCAGCAAGCTTTTTTTTTTTTTTTTTTTTTTTTTTAAATGTGGTGCTGGAGATAAAACCCAGTGCCTCATGCGTGCTCCGCAAGTGCTGTACCACGGAGCCACAACCCCAGCCCAACAACAAGCTTTTTAAAGCTCATGTGGCTGTTACTTCCATTTGCGAAAAATCAAAAAAAATCAGCAAAGGGTCAGAGAAGCACTAAATCATATCAGGATGGCATTAGATGCTTTTACCTACCTTATTTTACTTCACAACCACCCTGTGAGGTCGGTGGAAAAAGACACAAATACTGTATGATTCCACTTTCATAAGGTATCTGAAGTAGTCAGATTCATTATACCCGTTAAATAATTCCTCTTTTCCCTTTCCCCCAGTCTGCACTAAGTATCATCCTACATTGTTTGTGGAGATTGATTGCCAACAACGTAAATATACTTAACAGTATTGAACTGGATGGCTAAGGTGGTAAATTTTATTGTCTGTATTTTATAATTTAAAAAAAAAATGACTGCCTGCAGTTCAAAACCTTTTCCTCCCAGCCACTTCCTATACCATTTTTTATACTTTTATTTAATTTATTTATGTGTTGAGAATAAAATCCAAGGCCTCGCATGTGCTAGGTGAGTGCTCTACAGCTGAGCCAAACCCCAGCCCCTTCCTATACCATTTTTAATGTAGCAGATATCAGATTAAATTCTTTTATTTACACATCTATTGCTAGTTTCATGCCATTATAATAATAATCTCTATTAGGCCATGGGGTTGCTAGTTGCCCAATTAAATAACTGCTGACTGAAAAGTGTATATGGTCAACCTGCCACCTAATGCTCTGAATTCTCTCCTATAACTTAGAAAAGTTATGATTATTCTCTTCTTATATTCAGTTTATTTCTCAACTGCATTTTCCCCACCAATTTTCTGACATCCTCCTTTAGTGATTATCTTATTGCCCCTTCAGAGCAAAATAGAAAGCTGATGAGGAAAAAACTAATTAGAATCACTATCTTCATATTCTGCCTCTGTTCCTCAGTCCTTTCTACTTCAGTATCTAACTTCCTAACCACACTGATCAAGGGACAGTGACCTCCAGATCACTAAAACCAAAGGATAGTTCATGTCCTTACCTCGTTTCATTACTTAGCAGCACCACCAGGAACTGAAATCTCTTTCCCCACCATTTCTTTTTCTTTGCAAACTCACCCTCTACTAATGTGCTCACTGAATGCTGGAACTCCATGACACTATCTTAAGCCCTTTCCACACTTCAGACACTAGACCCAGGCAATCTCATCCTCACCCGCTACTTTAATAATCATCCAAATAGGCAGAGGATTCAAATCTCTAGCCCAGATTCTCCTCTACTTTCCGGATCAATATTTCCAACTGCCCTGCAAGGCGTCTTCGATGTTTCAAACTTAACACAACCCAACTGAGCTCACCCTCCACCTCCATGTCTGATTCTCTTCCCTATCCCATGTTGCTTCCACTTGGTTGCTATAGTCTTGGGATTTGGAAATCATCCTTGATTCTTCCCTAGCTCCATATCTAAGGCATCACAAGCTCATCTGTTTTAGCAGGCGAGCATCTCTTTGTCAATGTTCTTCATGGATCAAACAGTCCATCACCAACTGTCTTGGTGTTTCACACTATGAACAGTAACCTCAGTCACTAAAATCCTGTCCTTAACAACTAGTGACCCTTTTTAAACATTAATTTTCTGTCATTCCTCTTGCTTAATAATTTCCCATTGTTCTTCATATGACCTACCAGGCTGTGGGGTCTGGCCTCTATTTTTGGAGCCCTGATTAACTCATCCTTCTCTTCATTATAGTCTTTGATTTGGCATCATTTGCTTTCACCCACTTGAGTTCCTGTGGTGCTTCCCATATGGCCTTGCTACATCTCTTCCCACTGTCAGGAGACTTTCCAATCTGCACAATGAACTCCTGCATTTTCATCACATCAGTTGTGGTAATTTGGGGAAAATTTTAACTTCTCTTTGCACTTAGTAAGAGCTTGCCATCAGCCTGGATGCCATCTCCTTAACCAGGCCAATTCTTTTACATCACTGTAAACCTCTTTTTCCTAATATTTGTCATAAACTTTAACTTTTCCTGTGATATTATAAAGTATCCTGAGCCACAGCATTGAACCTGGCATGGGATAGGATGCTCCATAAATATCAAAAGACACCGAGAGGATATCTACAGATAACAGAATATAATCATTTGAGGAAAATGAGCTGAATTAATATAAAATTCTGACATTTAGGTTTGAATAGAGTAGCTGCCTAAGTACTGGGCCAAACAGAATGGAGACTTGTCAACTGATCACAAATCTAATAATGATGAAGCTGGTAAAAATAACTGAAATACTTGCTTCCACACTGTAACTGTCCAGATAACTGAATGCTTCCATTCCACTGTACTCAGAAACAAGTCACACCACACTATTTATTGTACATAAGCTGACGTAAGTTGTCCAACAACTTTATAACATGAAGGGAGGAAATGCACAGGGTATTCGGGCTGAGAAAGGAAGTTGAAGAAATAACCAAAATCTAGCCAAAATTTAATTTGTGATAGACATTTGAGAGAGGTGACTTTTGTTTAGGATTAAGAATTTTATGCCAACTAAAGCTAGCCACAAAGTAGAACAAGCTCCCATTGTGTATCTCATCTGTCACTCAAACTTCTGACTCTTATCCATAAGACAGCTTGCTTCAGTGGTAGAGTGCTCTGGGTTCAACCTCAGAAACAAAAATTAAAAAAATAAAATTGACTTTATTCTTAAAACATTATACACAATGTATACCTTACTGTGTAACACTGAGAACTGCATTTTGCTTACCACCTAGTTCAGTTGCTGACCCATGAAGATGTTCCTTGTTTATTATGGCTTCACACATTACCTAGCACAAGACCGTGTGTATTTGTGGTCCCACAATTTGAGGAAAGAGAATACTCAAGAAGGTGGATAGCAGTCTGTTAGGGTAGGAAAAGGGACACTGTAGAATAAATTCCCTGAAGGGAACCCTTTCTTTATTGCATGGCTCATAGTTCCCTGCAGTTTTTTGTTTTGTCTGTCATTTTTGGGGATGGGGAGCAGTGGGGATCAAACCCAGGGCACCTGCTACATTAGACAAGTGCTTTACCACTGGACTCTATTCACCGGGCTCTAACATCAAGCCAAACCCCTCAGCCTTAACTTTGTTTTTTTTAAAAGAAAGGTCTGGCCAAGTTGCCCAGTCTGGCCTTGAACTTTGAATACTCCTGCCTCAGCCTCCAGAGCAGCTGGGATCAAAGGTATATGTCACCATGCCCAGCTTTGCTCCCTAGCTTTTAATCATTTAGTAAACTTGTAAGTTTCCTGGGGGGGGCGGGGGCAATATCTCAGTGCATCAAGTGATTTTCAAACTCTGCTGATTTTCTAGTCCAATTCCAGCTTTCCCTCATAGAATTTAAAGGTCTTCAACTAAAAATGTTTGGAAAACAGTACAAGAAGGTCTTGAGATTTAGCGATTAGCACATTTGTTACCTGTTTCATAACAGGTTGTTGTTTTTCAGCAACAGGGCACATTTTAAAAGTTGACCAAGTAGTCTCTAATCCCATTTCAAGCCTGTGGAATAGATGGGTGTAGCACCTTCTACAGTTCCCACAGGAGGATGATCTGGGAAATGAAGTGAGGTTTGTGTTAGTCAACTTATTGTTTTGTGACAAATACCTGAGAAAAACAACGTGAAGGAGGAATGATTTATTATGGATCATAGTTTCAGTCTACAGTTGGTTGACTCCATCACTCTAGGTCTGAGAGGCAAAACATTATGGTGAAAGGGTATGATGGAGGAAAGCTTCTCAGCTCATAGCAGCCGGAAGTCAGGGGGAGACACAGGATGTCATAACCTTTAACTGGGGGACTTGGTCAAGACAGTTCCCAACTCTATGCTCCTAGTGACCCACTTCTTTAACCCTAATGCCCTACTTATAGTTTCTACCACCTCCTAATAGTTCATTCAGCTATCAGTGGATTAATCCACTGACAGGGTCAAAGCCCTCATGATCCAATCACTTCACAAAAGCCCCATCTCTGAACATGGCAGCATTTGCCGACCAGGCCTTTAACATGAGTCTTTGGGGAACACTTTATAACCAAACCTTAATAGTCTGCCTCTGATTTTTCCTAAAATTCAGAATAAAGGCACATTTTTTTGTCTCCTATTTTTTAATCTTATGCATTTGAAGAAACCCTGAGACTATTCACATAACAAAATCATGATTTAGACTTCCTCATTTAAGACAGTGGTTCACAACC